TAGGGAAATTTATAAATAATGTTTATTTTAGAAAAGGAGAAATGACCTAGGTTTTCACCCAGATATTGAAAAGAGGTGAGCAAATGAAACCCATGGAAAGTAGACCAAAGGAAATAATAAAAATGAAAAGAGAGATCAAAGAAATAAGAGAGACAAAGACAAAAATTAATGAAATCAAAAGTTGATTCTTTGAAAATATTAATAAAATTGATAAGCCCCTAGCAGGGTTGATTACAAAAGGAGAGAGAGTAAAATTCACTGAAGGCAGGAATAAAATAGGACATTACCATATAGGTACTGTAAATATTAAAAGGATAACAAAGGAATGTCATGGACAACATTATATCAATACATTTGAAACTTAGATGAAATGGGCAAATTTATTTTTTTAAAATTTAATTCAATTTAACTTTTTTATACAGCAGGTTCTTATTAGTTATCGATTTTATACATAATAGTGTATATATGTATCTCCCAATTCTTCCCACCACCACCCCCACCCCCGCTTTTCCCCCTTGCTGTCCATACGTTTGTTCTCTACATCTGTGTCTCTGTTTCAGCCTTGCAAACCAGTTCATCTGTACCATTTTTCTAGATTCCACATATATGCGTTAATATACGATATTTGTTTTTCTCTTTCTGACTTACTTCATTCTGTATGACAGTCTGTAGGTCCATCCACGTCTTTGCAAATGACCCAATTTCATTCTGTTTTATGGCCGAGTAATATTCCATTGTATATATGGGCAAATTTCTTGGAAAACCTAACTTCCTAAAAAATGACACAAGATGAAACAGTACATCTGAAGAGCCATATATCAGGGAAATTGAACTTGTCATCAGAAATCTCCTAGAGAAGAGATATACCATGTTCTTGGATTGGAAGGATCAATATTATGAAAATGACTATGCTACCCAAAGCAATCTACAGATTCAGTGCAATCCCTATCAAACTACCAATGGCATTTTTCACAGAACTAGAAGAAAAAAATCTTAAGATTTGTATGGAGACACAAAAGACCCTGAATAACCAAAGCAATCTTGAGAAAGAAAAATGGAGTTGAAGGAATCAGACTCCCTGACTTCAGACTATACTACAAAGCTATAGTAATCAAGACAATGTAGTACTGACACAAAAACAGAAGTATAGATCAATGGAACAGGGTAGAAAGCCCAGAGATAAACCCACACACCTATGTCAACTAATCTATGACAAAGGAGTCAAGGATATACAATGGGGAAAAGACAGTCTCTTCAATAAGTGGTGCTGGGAAAACTGGGCAGCTACATGTAAAAGAATGAAATGAGAACACTCCCTAACACCATACACAAAAGTAAACTCAAAATGGATTAAAGACCTAAATGTAAGACCGGACACTATAAAATGCTTAGAGGAAAACATAGGCAGAACACTCTATGACATAAATCACATCAAGATCCTTTTTGACCCACCTCCTAGAGTAATGGAAATAAAAACAAAAATAAACAAATGGGACCTAATGAAACTTAAAAGCTTTTGCACAGCAAAGGAAACTGTAAACAAGACAAAAAGACAGCCCTCAGAATGGGAGAAAATATTTCCAAACGAATCAACAGACAAAGGATTAATCTCCAAAATATATAAACAGTTCATGCAGCTCAATATCAAAAAAACAAACAACCCAATCCAAAAATGGGCAGAAGATCTAAACAGACATTTCTCCAAAGAAGACATACAGATGGCCCAAAGCACATGAAAAGATGCTCAACATCACTAATTATTAGAGAAATGCAAATCAAACCTACCATGAGGTATCACCTCACACCGGTCAGAATGGCCATCATCAAAAAAATCTACAAACAAATGCTGGAGAGTGTGTGAAGAAAAGGAAACCCTCTTACATTGTTGGTTGGAATGTAAATTGATATAGCCACTATGGAGAACAGTATGGAAGTTCCTAGAAAAACTAAAAATAGAATTACCATGTGATCCAGCAATCTCACTACTGGGCATATACCCAGAGAAACCATAATACAGAAAGACACATGCACCCCAGTGTTCATTGCAGCACTATTTACAATAACCAGGTCATGGAAGCAACCTAAGTGCCCATTGACAGACGAATGGATAAAGAAGATGTGGTACATATATGCAATGGAATATTACTTATCCATAAAAAGGAATGAAATTGGGTCATTTGTAGAGATGTGGTTGGACCTAAAGACTGTCATACAGAGTGAAGCAAGTCAGAGAAAAACAAATATCATGTATTAACGCATATTTGTGGAATCCAGAAAAATGGTACAGATGAACCAGTTTGCAGGGCAGAAATAGAGACACAGATGTAGAGAACAAACGTATGGACACCAAGGGGGGAAGTGTGGGGGGGTGGTGTGGTTGGATGAATTGAGAGATTGGGATTGACATATATACACCATAAGTATAAAACAGATAACTAATAAGAACCTGCTGTATAAAAAAAAATTAAATAAAATTCAAAAAAAATCTCCTAGAGAAAATCCTGATCTGGAAGTTCTCAAGTGAATTCTAACACACACTTCAGGAAGAAATAATGCCAGTGTTCTACAAATTCTTTCAAAAAATAGAAGAGGGGAAACAATTCCCAACTAGTTTTTTGATACAAAATCCTGATAAAGATATTACAAGAAAAAAAATTACAGACCAGTATCCTTTATAGAGACATAAAACCCTTAACAAAATACCAGTAAATATAATCTAGCAATATATGAAAACCATATTACGTTGAATAAGTGGGGGTTTTTGAAATTTAAGTTAGGTTTAAAATTTGAAACTATCAGTGTAATTTACTGTATCAAGTGGTTAAATAGAAAAATGTAATCAGCTCAATGATTACAGAGAAACATGTGAGAAAATTCAGCACTCATTCTTGATAAAAAATTTTCAACAAAACTAGGTATAAAAGGAGACTTTATCAGTCTAATACAGAATACCTACAAAATACCTAGAGCTAGCATCATACTTAATGATGAAAGACTGAATACTTTCTCTTTAGTATCAAGAACAGTGTCTGCTCTTACTACCCCATTCAACATTGTATTGGAGGTTCTAGCTAGTACATTAAGGCAAGAAAAAGGAATAAAGTTATATAGATTGTAAAACAATATGTAAAACTGTTTCTTCTTAAGTGATGTGATGGTCTGCACTGAAAATTCTAAGGTTTCTACAAAGTCACTAGTGTACTAGTAAGTGAACTAGCAATATTCATAAAAATATGACAAATTAGACTTCATCAAAATCTGAAAGATCTGCATATCAAAAGGTATCATTAAGAAAATAGGCAGGCTTCCCTGGTGGCGCAGTGGTTGAGAGTCTGCCTGCCGATGCAGGGGACACGGGTTTGTGCCCCGGTCCGGGAAGATCCCACATGCCGTGGAGCGGCTAGGCCCGTGAGCCATGGCGCTGAGCCTGCGCATCAGGAGAGGCCACAACAGTGAGAGGCCCACGTACCGGAAAAAAAAAAAAAAGAAAGAAAATAGGCAAAGTACAAAGAAGGTGAAAATACTGACAAAAATATTTGTTTGACAAATAACATATATCCAGAATATATAAAGAACTCTTACAACTCAACACTAAAAGACAAATATTCCAATTCAAAATTGGCAAAAGACAACTACAAACAACCTGGATTGGAAATGGGCAAAGGACTTGAATAAATATTTCTCCACAGAAGATGTATAAATGGTATATAGGTACATGAAAAGATCTTCAACATCACTAATCATTAGGAAAATGCAAATCAAAACCACAATGAGATGCCACCTCACATCCATTAGGATGGGTACTATTAAAAAAAAGAACATAAGAAATATTTGTGAAATTGTAGAGAAATTGGAATCCTTGTACACTGTTGGTGGGATGTCAAATGGTACCATTGCTATGGAAAGCAGTCTGGTGG